CCCAACTAATTTTTTTTTTTTTTTTGAGACAGAGTCTTGCACTGTCACCCAGGCTTTTTTTTTTTTTTTTTACAGCACACTGCAGCCTCAACCTTCTGAGCTTTTTTTTTTTTTTTTACTCAGCCTCCCAAGTAGCTAGAACTGCAATTTTTTTTTTTTTTTTCCAGCTAATTTTTAAATTTTCTGTAGAGACAAGGTCTTCCTATCTTATATAAGCTGGTCTCAAACTCCTGGCCTCATTTTTTTTTTTTTTTTTGGCCTCCCAAAGTGCTGGGATTATAGGCATTTTTTTTTTTTTTTTGCCCCAAAGTCAGTTTTATATATATATATATTTTTTTTTTTTTTTTAACTCACAACTTCTTTTCATTTTACTAGTTTTTTTTTTTTTTTTTTCTCCTCTGCCCCTGAACAGCCTGAGCTTCCTTTTTTTTTTTTTTTTAATGAGATGCAGGAGAAGTCTCACTAGGAATTTTTTTTTTTTTTTTGGAATTTTCAAGAGAACTTTAAAAATTCTTCACTTAAAACTCTCTTTTTAAAAGAAATCCTCATGGAGCATACCAATTTTTTTTTTTTTTTTGACTTTTATCATTGCAATTGTAACAATATTAATTATGCATAGTTTATTACTGTATTAAGTGTAGATGGAGCCTATTTTTTTTTTTTTTTTTTAAGCCTAAACTGAAATAAGCAAGCTAGGAGTTGACTGTTCATATTTCAAAAGGATTCTCCCATTTTAACAGGATTCTTTTTTTTTTTTTTTTCAAGCTTTAATACCCCTGTGGTTTTAAAAATTTTTTTTTTTTTTTTATTTCCACATAATTTTTCAGGAACTCATCTTTTTTTTTTTTTTTTTACAACTCTGCATGTGTATAGATAATACTATTTTTTTTTTTTTTTTTAAAGTTTCCCATAAATTATCTCATTAGCTGTTTTTTTTTTTTTTTTTATAAGCATTGGTTAGAACGCATAAATGCTTTTTTTTTTTTTTTTTCTTGCAAAAACTAAGAATTCTAATATGCCCTTTTTTTTTTTTTTTTATGACTCATTTATTAGAAAACTTTTCCTTATAAACGATACAGAAATAAACTTCAGCTCACCTGGTACAATCACAGATTTTTTTTTTTTTTTTAGTAAAACTTGAAGACCCATAGGTAACAAATTTTTTTTTTTTTTTTCAGAGTTCCCATGTAAGAACCGTCTGATGTCACTGTCAGAGACACAGAAACCAGGGACCTGGACAGAAAAAAAGTTCCATGGTCCTAACCACCTGGATGCAACTGTGGTTTGGGCGTGGCAAATGAGGGCTCTCAACTAACATGAATGTCTTGAAAACAACTATCAAATCTCAGGAAAGGACAATTTTGAAATCATAGTATATGTCCTTTGAACTACCTCCCTTCCCCAATTTCCAGTCTGATCCTTTATTCTTAGTTCTAGAATTTGCAAAGAGTCAATGTTTGCAAGCTTGTGGCTTTGTGTCTAAAATTCACCTTAGGCTTGGTAACATGAAGTTCTTTCACCATTTGAATATAGTGCTTCTTCCAGATCCCCTGCTCAAAGGGAGTTGGAGAGAAATTGATGTACCAGTTAAACCGTAAACATTTCAGCATCCAGAGCTGATCCAGCTCGGCTAGGTTCTTCCAATGCCAGCACACCTGGAAAAACTTTTTTTTTTTTTTTTAACCAAATCGAACAACCCCCTCAGTTTATATGCCCACTTTCTCTAGGGTTTGAACTGTCATCCTGGGCCTGAGATATTTTTTTTTTTTTTTTGCCTCCAAACCATAGCTTAAATGGTCACCTTTTTTTTTTTTTTTTTCCTACCCAGGCAGATTTAAAGTAAATTAGCATTTGCTTTAAATTCTAATTCAGATTTAGAATCAGAGTCAATTAATTTTTTTTTTTTTTTTTTTAATCATCTTCATAGCAACCTAGGGAGGTTTTTTTTTTTTTTTTTCTCATATTGCCAAAGAGGAAATGGGGCTCATTTTTTTTTTTTTTTTTTCCAGAGGTTTCTAAAGGTCATATAAAAGTTGTATAAGGATTATATAAACTTGGGTCTGCACTTTATTTATTCTTTTTTTTTTTTTTTTTTTTTTCCCTCCTACATTAGTCTGTTTTCACATTTTTTTTTTTTTTTTACCAAGACTGGGTAATCTACAAAGAGAAAGTTTTTTTTTTTTTTTTTAGTTCCATGTGGCTGGGGAGGCCTCACAATTTTTTTTTTTTTTTTAAGTCATGTCTTACATGGCGGCAGGCAAGATTTTTTTTTTTTTTTTCAAAAGGGGAAACCTTTATAAAACCATCAGTTTTTTTTTTTTTTTTTCACTACCATGAGAACAGTATGGGGGAAACTTTTTTTTTTTTTTTTTTTTCTCCCCCTGGGTTCCTCCCACAACACTTTTTTTTTTTTTTTTTTACAATTCAAGATGAGACTTGGGTGGGGATTTTTTTTTTTTTTTTCACCTCCATTCTTTCAATTTCACTAAATATTTTTTTTTTTTTTTTTTATAATCACTGATACCATGTGATGTATAGAGCCTTTAGGATTCCACAAAGCAGAAAGCATTTATTCTGTACATACCTTTTTTTTTTTTTTTTGGCTAATTCCACCCATCCAGCAAATGGCGGTTTTTTTTTTTTTTTTTGTAGCAATATTTATAATAATTTACCCAAGGGTTTGAATAAGTCTTGCCAGAAACTAGGATCAAGTTCACATATAATTTTTTTTTTTTTTTTTCAGTGTCTTTGTAAGAGTTGCAAAGATGATTTTTTTTTTTTTTTTCCAAATTTCACCCTTAGAAAACTGGCCTCTTTTTTTTTTTTTTTTTAATAATTAATAATTTTTGAGTGCCCCTTCATTTTTTTTTTTTTTTTCTCCGTAATGGCCTTGCTGTCCATACACCTATTTTTCTATCCCTCTCTGCCTCCCCACTTCCACTCACCATTTATTTTTTTTTTTTTTTTTTTAGTATTGTTTTATGTGCAGAAGATGAGATTTTTTTTTTTTTTTTTGGCACAATTAGAAGAAATAATAAATTCAGGAAAGGTTAGGGAAGGAGGAAAAAGTTAAGGATTTGATAGAGCCCTATAGGCAGCAACAGAAATCACATTTAGTTTGTTTGACCCAGAAATGAAACACCACCAACCTCATCTCCGTATGGTAAATTCACTCAGAATTCATTTTTTTTTTTTTTTTTTTGGGAAAGGGAAGGGGGAGAAAAGTCTCTTTTTTTTTTTTTTTTTTCCTTCTTCTTCTTCTTTTTTTTTTGAGATTTTTTTTTTTTTTTTGCCCAGGCTGGAGTGCGGTGGCGCGATCTTTTTTTTTTTTTTTTTTCGTCTCCCGGGATCAAGCCATTCTCCTGCCTTTTTTTTTTTTTTTTCTGGGATTACAGGCATGCACCACGCCTGTCTAAGGGTTTCTCCTCTTCTTTAGATAATGTTTTGACCTGAGTACTTTTTTTTTTTTTTTTTTCAAGACAAATATAGTTTTTGTTTTTTGTGTTTTTTTTTTTTTTTTTTTTGTTTAAAGGTAGAGAGGAATGAAGAGATTTTTTTTTTTTTTTTAGAGCTTTCAAATCTACAGGACACAGTTCCTTTTTTTTTTTTTTTTTTTTTAAAACAGCAGGGACTTTATATGGTTTTTTTTTTTTTTTTTTGAAGAATGATGGTCTGTGTTTTCCCCACAGTCAGTAGTGAGGAGAAATTATGTCTTACAGTGCATACAGATGATAGTTTTTTTTTTTTTTTTTAACATTTCCTTCTAATAATAATATTATCCTTTTTTTTTTTTTTTTATTCTGAGAAGTTTAACCCATGATCCCATTTTTTTTTTTTTTTTTTTATTGACAACCTGCTACAGTTCTTTTCCTTTTTTTTTTTTTTTTTTGTATATACAAAAGAAAATCAGGAAACCCTATATACAACTTAAAATATTTTTTCATTTTAAATATTATAACATCTCTGTTCTTCCAAAACATGTTTACTAATGGTTGCACAATAATGCATCATTTTTTTTTTTTTTTTTGTAATCGCAGCACTTTGAGAGGCTGAGGCGTTTTTTTTTTTTTTTTTCAGGAGTTCCAGACCTGCCTGGCCAACAATTTTTTTTTTTTTTTTCCTAAAAATACAAAAATTAGCTGGGCGTGGTTTTTTTTTTTTTTTTTCCCAGCTACTCGGGAGGCTGAGGCAGGAGTTTTTTTTTTTTTTTTGGGGGTGGAGGTTGCAGTGAGCCGAGATCGTTTTTTTTTTTTTTTTTCTGGGAGATGAGAGCAAGACTCTGTCTCATTTTTTTTTTTTTTTTAATAATAATAATAATAATAATGCATCATATTTTTTTTTTTTTTTTTCTCTTATTACTGGGCATCCAGATTGCTATGTTTTTTTTTTTTTTTTTTTCAGGCCAGGTGTGATGCCTCACACTTGTTTTTTTTTTTTTTTTGGAGGTCAAAGTGAGTGGATCACTTGAAGTTTTTTTTTTTTTTTTTGCCTAGCCAACATGGTAAAGCCCTGTCTCTTTTTTTTTTTTTTTTTTTAGCCAGACATGGTAGCGCATGCTGTAATTTTTTTTTTTTTTTTTGCTGAGGCAGGAGAATCGCTTGAACCTGGGTTTTTTTTTTTTTTTTGAGCCGAGATTGTGCCACTGCACTCCAGCCTTTTTTTTTTTTTTTTACTTCATCTCAAAAAAAAAATCATTTTTGGTTTTTTTTTTTTTTTTTTAATACCAAATTCAAAGAAACAAAGGAAGTTTTTTTTTTTTTTTTATCCCCCAGTCACCCATTCTTCTCCTTGGATTTTTTTTTTTTTTTTAGTTTCTGGTAAATAATTCTTGAATATTCTAAGTATATAGTAACAAACATATATATGTATTTTTGAGACAGGGTCTTTTTTTTTTTTTTTTTCTGTAGTGCAGAGGCATGATCATAGCTTACTGCAGCCTTCAACCCCCAGGCTCAAGCAATCCTCCTGCCTTACTTATTTTTTTTTTTTTTTTGAACTCTAGGCACATGTCACCATACCTGGCTTTTTTTTTTTTTTTTTCTTTTTTTTTTTTTTGAGACAGGGTCTCATTTTTTTTTTTTTTTTAGAATGCAGTGGCATGATCTCAGCTCACTGTTTTTTTTTTTTTTTTGATTCAAGCAACCCTCCTGCCTCATGCCCCCCAAGTAGCTGGGTGCAGGTACAGGTGTGCACCACCACACAGGGCTACTTTTTGCATTTATAATAGAGATGAGTTTTCACCATATTGGCCAGTTTTTTTTTTTTTTTTTGACCTCAAGTGATCTGCCCACCTTGGCCTCCTAAAGTGCTAGGATTATAGGTGTGAGTCACCTCCACACCTGGCTTTTTTTTTTTTTTTTTTTTGTGTGTTTTTTTTTGAGATGGAGTCTCACTCTGTCGCCCAGGCTGGAGTGCAGTGGCGCGATCTCAGCTCACTTTTTTTTTTTTTTTTTGGGTTCACGCCATTCTCCTGCCTCAGCCTCTTTTTTTTTTTTTTTTACAGGTGCCCGCCACCACGCTTGGCTAATTTTTTTTTTTTTTTTTTGAGATGGGGTTTCACTGTGTTAGCCAGGATTTTTTTTTTTTTTTTTTCTCGTGATCCGCCCACCTCGGCCTCCCAAAGTGCTGGGATTACAGGCATGAGCTGCCACGCCCAGCGTGACCTGGCTAATTCTTAACTTTTGTAGAGACAGGGTCTTGCTATGTTGCCCAGGCTCTAGAGTACAGTGCTGCAATCTTGGCTCACTGCAGCTTTAAACTTTTTTTTTTTTTTTTTCCTCCCACCTCAGCCTCCCAAGTAGTTGGTTTTTTTTTTTTTTTTCACCACACCTGGCTAATTTTTGTATTTTTTGTAGAGATGGGGGTCTTGTCATAATGCCCAGGCCAGTCTCAAACTCTTTTTTTTTTTTTTTTGCCAGCCTTGGTCTCCCGAAGTGCTGGATTTTTTTTTTTTTTTTTTGCCTGGCTGTATATATTCTTTATTCTTTTCTTTTTTTTTTTTTTTTGTTCTACACCTCTGCTTTTTTTTTTTTTTTTTTTTTTTTTTTTTTTTTGGAGATAGTTGCAGTTTATTTACCCAGTTTTTTTTTTTTTTT